AACGAGGTTAGGCTTAACCAGTCGTAATCGTTACAAGTAGGTGCAGTGGATGCTGCGACCGAGGCGGCAAAGCGTGGCGCGGACGGAAAGAACGAGTCCAAAGATGCGGACGAAAAGCCTGGGGATAAAAAGAACACGGGGGTCGAGGACGAGAATGACGGGGTGCAGCAACGGGAGAAGCGGATCAAGCGCCCTTTGATAATCAGTGAAAACTTCCATGAGAACGGAATGTGTAGCATGATGGGGTGCGTTTGCGGGGGCAGGGGTCAGCCAGCGCCAAAGAAGCAAAAGCTGAAGAAGCAGGTTGTTCTCGATGACTCAGATGAGGACGAAAGCGATGTGCCGATAGATTCTCACGGAGAAGAGAGTGAAGACGGAAGCGAAAGCGGAGGCGAAAGCGAGACGGATGAGAGAGCCGGCCCGGGTGGTGCTGCAAAGACGACGGTGGAGCTCCCTGCATTCCTCAAGCAGAACTACGCGCTCGTCTGCATGAAGCTACTCCGGATGGACGCCGTCCACCAGGCAAGTTTGTTCTTTATCCGTCTGGTTGCTTAAAAGTTGCCTCCAAAAATCTCGGAATCTAGGTGACTACTTAGGAAGCAACGTCTGGCTTGCCGGCAGCGAACGCAGGTCCGTCTCAAGTTAGTTGGCCGTTCAAAGTTTATGACAAATTTGTGACTCACGGTCTGGACGGGATGGTCAAGAAGCGCACGAGATCAGCATGTGCTGACGTCACCTTTGAACGGTCTTCGAATCAACAAGCAAAGTTGCTCGTGCATGTTTAAAATTGCATTGTGGAATGCGTTCACTCTTCTGACGTTGACCTCTTAGAGTTTTGTTTTGAAAAGTGACAAGTTGTTGGAGTGGGCTTGTTTAGTGCGCCGATAACGTCAGTGGTCCCTTTTGCAGCTGTTCAATCTACATCGTCATGCTTTGCGTCTGCTGACGTCATCTCTAAGTGTTCAAAAGCGCTCATGGCAGCTCGGATTTGGATCCAAAGTTCTGCGTTTTAGTCCAACGAAGTTTATCCGTTTGACTAGGCATTGAGTACGGAGAACAAAGAGAAGTTTCATTTGAATTCTGTTCGGCAAGCAAATGACGTCATTATTCCGTACGTACAAATTATGCTGAAACGTCGTTCGACATGATTGGCGTTGGAGTCTGGTGACGTCACCATCGAGTGTTGAAAGCGCTCACGCTTGCTCTGAACCGAAGGATGCGTTGAAGTCCTTCACAGTCAACTCGTGCAAGCGATTCACAGGAGAGCGGAAAGAAGGCTGGTCTGAAGCAGCTGACGTCATCGTTCAGTACCATACGTATGAAAACTCCTTTGAGATGCTGGTACAAACTTTGCCGTTGTTAGAAGCCGTTGATAAAGTGGCGATTAAAGCACGAGAAGGTATGGGGTCTGGAGTTAGCTCTGACATTTGCTCGAAGTCGGATCGTCGGCTTGATATTCTCTCTTGGCGAGGTCACCAACTCCGATGCAGAGTGAGCTTCAACGGTTGAGCTCATAACGAGCTCGCGTCAACCAACAACGAGATGTACATTAGAATGGGTTGACTTTTGAATCATCTTCGTTAGTTTTTTGGACCGACGAGAGGATCACAGTGCTTTTCCTACTGATTGCAGTTGAAGAAGAACGATCTGCTCTCGTACATCTTCGAACAAAAGCTTCAAGGAGAGGAAAGCAACAAGTCTGTCCGTAGCCTCCCGGTTGAAGAACTACAGAGGATGGTCGCGGAAGGAAGCGTGAAGAACAAGACAGTACTTATCACCAACAAGCGCTGGCGAGAGAAGCGCCTCAAGCGCGAGGAGGTCTTTGTTTCGTAGTCGACCTAGCTTGTGGGTAAGCCTCTCGTCTTCCGCTGTCATCAAGGTGTTTTCTGCTGTTTCTAGAAAATGGCAGTGAAAGCAACGTCGAAATATCTTACGCAATAAGCTCAATTGTGGTACACAGTTGGAGATTGTCTGAACGATTCGTTAGAAAGAATATACGGCACTTCATTCTGCTGTGCAAACAGAGCCGACACGACCTGGATATGCTGCACAAGAAACATGTGGTGTCTGCTGTATTCTTCCATCTCGGGCGAACTGCTTAAGGAGAATTCGTAGTGGCAGTTCACTGCTTCCAGCAACCCGTTCGAAGTGATGATCGCTGCGAATTCTTTTAGCCTCTCTTTCTCTGCCCCCCTTCTTTTTGCAGTTGCCTCCGCGTTTCTGCTGTTTGAAGTCACCAAGCGCGCTTACGGCTATCAATAAAGGAAATGGAACTCATCCGTATAGCATCGTTTTCCTGCAGGTACTTTGACGCCTTGTACATGGGGACCAGGTCCAAGACTCAGTCAAGAGAATCACTAAGTCTATGAGGCAACAGCAGGAGCAAGTTCAGCCGTAGAGAAAGTCCTTTTGAAGAGCGCGACGGCAGTTTGGCAGAGAGTGGGACGCGAAACCTTGTAATTCAGTGGACCGATAATAGCGCCTGAAACAAGACTCTTTTCAAATCGTACTTCTTCAAAGAAGCTCTTCAATATCTCCTGTTGCTGTCAATCAGCTCACGGTCACCTTTCCTCCGTTCGTTCGTACGGATCTCTTCTTTTCCAATCTCCTTTCAACTTGTCTGGCTGCCAGCTGTTGCAGGTCAATCTCGTTACACTTTTCAAACCGTCTCGTGTTTGGAGGTGCCAGAAAAAGCTACTCAATCCAAGTAAGGTTTTTCTGACCGGAGCTATTGTGACGCGCAATGGTACGTTGCTGAAGTACGGGCTCGCAAAAGAGTTCCTCGGGCTGCTTCAAGCGTGGCAAACGGTTCTCCTGGAAGAGAAAAACGAGTGCCTGGTTTTCGACTGTGCCACCGCAAGCATTGAAACGTCGCAGTTGCACTCTCGGATAGATTATAACTGGGTTTTTGCAATCGGATCTGGGGCTATTCTGCTCGGAGAGTGACCAAGTCGGATCTAAAAAGTTTCGAAAGCGGCCTTTCCTCGTGTGCTCGGATTCGAAGTTCGACAGAAGACTGAAAATCTGGTCTGGACTACCTGACAGACCCATCTTTGGCACCTACATAACCTAAAGAGTGCTGTGCACGTGCGGAAGGAGTCTCTGTACAATCTTTGTTACAGGTTTAGGATGCTCTTAAGAGCCGTATAGTGTTTAATTTCTGTAGTATCGACCCGGGCGTTTGACGGGGATATGCCGGGGAACGCAGACCGTGCCCCGGCAAATTGCACTCCTCGGGGAAAGCCCGGGGACTGAGATTCCCCGGTCTGAAGTCCCCGGTCTTAGGTCCCCGGCCTGAAGTCCTCGGAGTCAAGAAAACACCGGGGACCTGTCGAGATTCCCGGTGTTATCGCATCCCCGGGGACACCCCGGGGAACCGCTGTCCCCGGCTGACGCCCGCTCTTTCCCCGCCCCCGGGGAACGACCATTTCTCCCTGTGTCTGCAGGCTCTGATTCGGCAGTGCACTGCACTGTGGCCTC